GAGTGCATCCCCGTTCATTCACTTTGTCCGACAAAGGGGTTGATCCTGTCACTATGATCACCCACTCAGATGAATTCTCGGATTATCCGAACATACCCAGGTTTTGACTCCCTCTAAGGATCTCATTGATTGGCATATCAAAAACAACCCTATCCGACACCTAGTGCAATATCATAATCGAGTCTAGGGGTCAGGTGTAACATTCCAGCTTTGCCCATCGATCTCCAAGGTCTAGGGCAATACTAAAATTTTGGTCCGGTTTAGGGTTTCAAGAAAACCCACACTGCATGTATCTCAGGTCTCACCCTGACAGTTGAGACAAGCCACCCCAACCAACTTGGTTGTATATTAGTGTCAGCCTTAGCAAGATAAATCTTCTTAGATCTATCCAATGACTGTGAAGATTCTAAATTAACACGAGTCTCATATGTATCCAGTTTAAGGTTATTATATAGAAACACACTATAATAACATAAATCAAATATATATTTTATTCATTTACAATAAATATCATAATGTACGTCATGCTTATCGGAATTATGAGCATACACTGTCTGATAAGGCATTATACCCAAACCAAACTATAAAATAAGCCCAAGAACACCAAGAGTGTGATTGATGTAAAACGCCCCAAGAGAAAGAAAGAGGCTAGAGAAAAGAGAGAGTGAGATCGGTGTGAAACGCCACGGGAGAAAGAGAGACAAGAGAAAGTGAGAGAGATGTGATTTGACAAGAAGAGAGCATGAGGAGTTGGTGGAGGGACAGGTGAAATGCTCCATTGACGGTGGGGCTACTTGAGGCTAGAGCTTAGGCCTATCGAGTACTGCCGAGCGTAGAGCCCCGTCTCGAACCTTCCCAATCCGACTTCAGATCCGATTGTTAAAAGCGTGAAAAGCAACTATTTCAATGGTTAAAAGCGACCATACATTCATACACTCAGACCCTGTCGCATGCTCGAGACCCGCACAACTTTCTCTTTTAGGCTCGTGTAGATTCTATTTCATGAAGTGAAATATTCCATTTAGTGTAGATGACCACCACGTTAGATATTTTTCATGGCTAAGCCAACGATTGGGTGACCTCGGCTTAGATTTTCTTTTTTTTAATTTTTATATTAGGTTTATACCGACAATTGTTTTTGCACTAGCACTTTTACCGATTCATCACTTTAATACCTGCTTAGTGAAAATCTCATGACAATTGATACATAAAAATAACTTCAATAAAAATGTAATTTAAAACAAAATTAATGTATTAAATTAAAAAACTAATTATTATTATTTCCAAATGAATTGTTCAAATACAATATTCATTTGATATAAAAATACAAGGACTATAAAAAAATTTAATTTGTCAAATAATATAGCATATCTTCCTATTAAAATCCACTTAACATAATGGTCAAACCTAAAAATCATAACATATAAATTGTTAGAAAATGTAAAATAAATAAGATATTAAGAGAAAAAAAGTATAAAAATAGATATTTACCTGCACAAAATATTAAAATGAGCCCACTCATGCGTTTCCCTCATAGTACAAGGACTTTAAAGCCATCAATAATGGCACTTTTATTCCTTTGGGTACCTTGAATTCACTCACCTTAGCAACAATTTTCATTCAATAGATGTGCTAAATTCATAATTTCTTTCAATGCAAATCAAACAGATACCTTGATGGCTTCCTAGATGAAAAGAACAACTCTACATTAACACGCCAAAAAGTTCCCATGCAATCCTTCCAAATCTAATGGTCACAGTGCTGTTATTGAATATGGCAAGGAGAAAAAACAAGAATGTTGTCTAGATGCAAACCTTGCAAAGAGAAATTATGTTAGTAGGATCAAATATATTATATAAAATTCTCGAAACTTTGATATGGAATTTTGAAGAAGTTGCTTCCTATTACCATCCAACCCTAGCCAAGTACAAGGCGGTATTTCTCTTAGGAAGCCTGGGTCAATCAATCATAGGGGGAGCCATAAGGGGCAATGATGTTTACATCTTAATGAGCTATTTAGTCTCAATTGAAATTGGTAACTTATTGGGAGCTGAACTTCTAGCAACTATAAGGATCATTGTGAGGAATATTTGCAAGAGGGACCTCTGTGCCTTAGATCTCTGCTTAAAGAAGGATTAACTTTTTATCTTGCAACCTTTAATACTTTCTTTAAGAAATCCATGTAGCACCGTACAACTGAGTCTGGATCTGCCAACCACCCCACAACGACTATAGAGTCTCTCTCCTTTAATTAGTAGATTCTCCACACCTAGTTGATTTGAGATCTAAATACCTTGTATAGCTGTTAATAATTCAGCCCTATTAGAGTCTCCTAACCCCACTATGAATACAGCCCAACATTTTACTATTACAATGTAGTAGTGAATGGAATTAACTAAATCTGTTACAACCACCAGTAGACTAGAACCAATAAATAAGTTGAAGGGCAACAAATTGATAAAAGGAAGATCTATAGAAAATGTTCTAAAAGATAAGAAAACAACTAAGGGCCTGTTTGGTTTCAGATGTTTGGTTGGGCAGAATCGGAATCCGATTCCCATTCTAAGCGGAATGGCAATCTCCCAATTGAGGGAATGGTCGTTCCCGACCCACCCCCCAGAAATCGGATTCCCATTCCAGTTGGTTAAATTAATAAAAAGGAAAATGATGGAAAAAACCCTCAAACCCTCGATTCCCTCTTTCTCCTTTCTCTCGACACTCCCTCCTTCAAACCTTCTACAGTTCGGCGATTGGACTCTGAAGATCCGACCCGTATTACTCCGGCCAGGTCATGATGGATCTCTCTCCTTTTATCTCTCCCCTTCTGTAAACCCCTCAACCAGCTCCCTCCCCTTCTGCAAAACATCTCTACTCAATGGTGGTCGGAATCGTTGCACGGCGTCTCCGATGTCGGACCTGGCATCCGATTCAACGTGCTACGAGCTTTCCTCAGGTCATCCTCACTACCGCATCATTTGATGAACATCTCTGGTATCGCATTGGACAGGTAAGCGAGTATTCACTCTAACAACTTTGTTCATGAGAAAAGGGCAAAATCATTTGAATCTGTATCCCCCACGCATTGTTTGATTCTTCAATTTACTTTTACTTTGAAGGCTATTGGTACCGAAGCTCGAGCTGTACACAATGTCAGGCAAGCCAAAGGAATGTCGTTTTGGTCTCCGAAAATCAATATATTCAGGGACCCCAGATAGGAGAGAGGGCAAGAGACGCCAAGTGAAGACCCATTGGTTTCTGGCAAGTATGCAATTTCTTTTGTGAGAGGGGTTCACGGGGATTCCTTTGAGGGAGGAAAACTTGGCAATCATCTTCAAGCTTCAGCTTTTTGGGGTTTTGGTTTTGTTTCGCGGCCTTTAGAAACTGCAGCAGAACATGCCTTGCTTTTCTATCTGTTACTATGCTTTTAGTAATAGATAGGTGCTTTAATGGTGGAAGTGATTCCTTTTCTTTTCTCTTTTCTCACCCCTATTCAAGATTTTGCCTAAAATATGGATTTATTTCTTTGTTCAGGGCTTATGGGAAATGGAGTACAGGTTTCTTTATCTATCTATCTATCTGTAGTGCATCAGGCTCAAAGTTTCACTCATTTATGTGTATTTTTCTAGGTCAAGCTGTCCATGTTGAAGAGTGCATAAATCAAAGGTAATGCATAAAGCATTGCTATTAGCATTGGCATTTTTTTATATTGTATCTTCTATGTTTTGATTGGCGATGTGGTGGATGTGTGATGTGGCTGAATAGTAGGTGCCCAAGATGAAAGGATTAGAAGAATAGGCAAGAAAATAAAAATACATGGGCTGATCTAAGGTTCATAATCTAATAGTTGATATGGCCATTTAAAAAATGGAATGGCAAAACGGGATTTGGGAAGACAAGTCTTTATGGTTGGGATAAGGCTTTATTAAGTTGCATTACCATTCTATGAATTGGAAAAGAAAAGATCATCCAATAAAACTTGTGAACAATAAAAACATCACAATTATCAATGTTTTTTCTTTTCATTCAAGGATTTGTAGAACTACTAATTTGGAGTGGCCTTTTGTTAAGTATCAGTTATAAAAAATTTGCTATGCAAATATCATGTATCTTTGTATTTTTTTTTCTTTTTTTTGCTTACAAAAATGTATCTTTGTTATTGATAAGGCTGAAAGTGCTCTTTGTAATTTTTGTACATGACTTCTGATAATTTCAGAACTTGGTTTTACCGTTTTAGTGCTGCAAATTGATAAGATCAAATTGTGGATTTTGTTATTGTTACAGGATTGCACTCTTGCCTCTCAGTTTGGCCATTCAATTGTAGACCCAATGCCAAGCTTATTCACCTTCAAGATTAAGGACACAATTAGCAGAGTTGTCTAGGGTATCATTCTTCAAAATTCAACAACATACTTTTTGTTCTTCACAACATATTTATGGAAACAAGATATATGTTAGGTGGCTCTTTACCAGTTTACATCCTTTTGAAGATTGGCATTCTTGTCTTTGATCAATTCATATAAAATTGCAAACAGAAAATAAGGATGAAAGCTTTTAAATATGAGAGAAAAATAGATAACACCTTTACATAAAAAAATCCATACTAGTAGGCCCAGGCAAGTTAGTCCAGCATTGGACAAGTAGAATATGATTGCATAAATTATTTTTTACAGGAAAGCTCCTTGGACAGACCTCCTTGATCAATTCTGATTACAAAAGACATGAATACATTAGCTTCAGCAGTGTCTCCAAACTGTGGAAAACAGTTTCTGAGGACGTTTTTGAGGTTCTTTTAACAGGAGCAGAATTAAAAACTTTGGCTGATTCCGATTCCAGCTTTTAGTTGAACCAAACAGTAAGAATCAGAATCCAATTCCGATTCCTGACTGAACCAAACAGATTCCAGGAATGGACCATTCCGATTCCGATTTCAAAGAATCCTGATTCCGATTCCGACTACGAACCAAACGGACCCTGAGTGTGTGTTCTCTTAATCAAGACAATTCATAGAAGAATTATACATTAGATCAAACAGTTAGGATTAAAGTTGAGTTGAGCCAATTATTGTCATCACATCAAAACCCTTAACAATAGAAGGTTGTTTAATTCCACGAACTATAGCCCATAAATAAAGCATAATCATGAGCCATGCAGAATACAATACTACAAACAAGACATGTACAAATAGGCTATGTAACCCAATCAAGAGTGAACATGCCCGCCATCCTTACAAGAAACTCGTACAACACACTCGTGCATTCAGTCTTGATTGGTTATGTAACCTGCTCTACATACTGTATTTGTAGCAGTTTTGAAGTGCTTTTAGGGAGCAAGTAACTCATAAGCAAAATGTGTAAGTCACATGTGTGACAATTCAATTGCTAGCATCCTCGGCTCCAATTAAGATAAACTGGAAAGCCTCAACCTAAGCCAAGTTACAAACATAGCTCCTAAACCAGGAAAAACGGATACTTGTAGGTTGTCATCCACTCCTTTAGCAGTGGTAGCATATGCTATAGAATGAAATTATCCAATAGCAGCTGCTACAACATATTACCCTGCAATAGTAGGGAATCCTCTTAAAGTATAGTGCGACATCACTGCTGTATTGAATAGTGCCCATGTGTGTCATGCCTTCGCCCAATCTTTTGCACAATGAGTAAATGCCATAAGGATTTCTGAACATCAAGAAATCCTAGAATTAGAAAGAAAAGAATGCAGAGGGAAAAAGGAATCAAGACTAGTGGGGACCAAAGTGTTGATTACCTGGTATAGAATCATCATCTAATCCAAGAGAAAGTGCCCATTGCCAAGTTCCAAGTTTTAGATAGACAGGTGCAAGCTGAGGAACACTTGGACTTGAAGCACTAATCACCCCATTTGCAATTGCTGTTGGAATGTATTTTGCATTAGAAAGTTCTACAGCAAGGTCTTGTGACAAGCAGATTGTGATGATGCACCAAATGTACTTTGTCAATGAAAAATCAGAAAAAAAAAAGCAGAAAGTGGAATTTTAGATGCCTTAGAAGAGAAGAAATGCATTACATACCTGCAACCTTGCAAAAGCTTCCTTTCTCTTAGAATCCTTCCCGAGATCACTGGTGTTTCAAGTATGCCAACATGACATGAGGGGGTTCATTCAAGAACACAAGCAAAAAATAGGAGCTAAAACCAACATTTGAATGCAACATTTTTATGTGTAAGTAGATATGTCCAGTTTAACTAAAATTGATCAAGCCTGACTTATTCAGCCGCTTTTTCAGCAAAGAGAAGAAAAGTTTAACCAAGATTCAGTGTCCTCTGTAGGAGGGAGCACAAGTTTTTGAACAGCTAAAAGTGCTTGCCAAACATGTATAGTTTAAGTATGAGAAGGAATTGAAGGAATGAGCAGAATGCTGATGCAAAAGGTGCAAGATGCAGCTGAGAAACCTTATTCAACAAGGAGAAACTATTAGGAAAACCCAAAGCCAACCATGTAGTCACAAAGACACATATATTAGTTGACAATAACAAACATGTACTCAAAGAACACCATGACTTACAAGAAAGGAAAAATAGAAATAGAAAACAAATAAACATAATGATGCACTAATCACAACTACAATTACTCTGCTTCAACAATAAGATACTTGATTTGGTATTTTGGTTGAATGATTAGTTTGATGAATATAACCACCAACTACACCAGTTAGAAGAATTGATTTGTTACACATTGAAGGAACTAGAAGAGGATGGGGTAGACCAAAAAGGACATGGGTAGAAGTAAGAAGAAATGATTTAAACATTGATAAATCTAACAGATTGGTAAAACAGGATTCATGTAGCCAATCCCATATAGTTGGTATAAGGCAAGGATGATGATGATGTAGGATTAAAGCAGCTCTCAAAACAAGGCACTTTACTAGCTACCCAAAGAAAAAGATAAGAAAAAGACTACTTCAAACAAACAGCATAAGAAATTTAGCAAAAAAATAGGCCATTTGATAACTTAAATTGCTGAACTAAATGACCTATTGCTTTGTTTAGTAAATAAATTATTTAGGAGGTTGTGAGCTCCTTAATGGATGGGGTTGAAATTAGGTCAATTGCTATATCCTTGAGTACTATTTTGTTTAAATATTTTGTACACTATAAACAAGAAGCCTCATAACCCCCAAGATTACACTGATCAGAGAGCTATAAAAGCACTTGTTGCACCAAACAGCCACATGTATTCTTCTTTATCTTTTCATAGTAAACTAGCGAACTTGAGAAAAGAAACGAAGGCATCCAAATATGCTAAAAAAGGGACTGTAAAAGGACAGATTAAACAATGGAAAAGATTGCATGCTTTCTTGTAATTAAACATTCAAACTTGAAAATATACCATTTCTTCAAAGTTTAAATTCCCCAACATTAGACGGCATGTTTTGTATTGGTAGCCATCCACCCAAGATAATTTTTTCGTTGTATGAGAATATACCATGTTCATTTATGAAAATGCCTAAAAGTTGCATCATTGACCCTTTTAATGAGCCAATAAACCCTCTCATACATTACTGGCCAAAATAAAACACAAAACAAAGCAAAAAAAAAAAGAAAGAAAGAAAGAAAGAAAGAAAAGAAATTTGGAGAAAAACACGAAAGTAGTTGAGTAACCAACTTTTCACTTCCATTAAATAGAAGAATTAAATTAAGTCTAGTATAATCATATGTAACTTGTTCCTGCAAACCTTCAGTCATACTATTAATGTAGGGAGCTATACGGTAATGCACTATATAAATTAACAGTTTTGAGTTTCAATACAAGTTTTTCCTATACTTTCCTGCAACTGGGTGAGATGTGATAATAATAGTTGAGTAGTGCACGTTTTCAACTCAACTTTTACCCATTAGATAAAGGTGCCTTGGAGATGGTGAATGGTAAAATAGAAAATAGATTTGCATTGACCAAAAAAAAATTTCAAGGAAGCTTCTATCTGATATACTAAATGACTGAAAATTGCAATTAGGAGGGATTTTCAAAATGTTGAAGAAAGTGAATATAGCGAGGACCAATTTGCTCACCAGTGCAGCGAGCTTTGTTGCCACACTTTCTAGCTCTCTCTACAAACTCCCTTGCTTCATCATATTGGAATAACAAAAGTTATAAGATAAATTCTTACCTTTCCTCGACGAGCCAACAGAACAGCCCTGAAAAAAGTACCATTGCTACTTTCATCACCAATAGCAGTAGTATTCCCTAAAATCCGAAGCTTGGTTTCATCACCATCGTCCAAATGAGAAACATATTCTGAAATAATCAAAAGTATGCCATAATCAATTTCTTATGAAAAAGGAAGAAAAAACAAAGAATGAAAAAGATAGAAAAAAAAAAGAAAAAATAGGATGTCAAAGGCTTTTCGCACATATTTTCTAATCTCCATTTAGAAGAATGAAAAAAATAAAAAAAAACTATTATCTACATCCGTAACCCTTCAGCCTCCTATTTAGAACCCCTTTTACCTTTGACCTCCTATCCAAAACCCTATTTCACCCTGTTTGATTGGGAGCAAAACCCTATTAACCACTATCGATCCCTAAAATAATCGAAGGTTTATTACCTTCTTGGAGATCTCCAAATCGCTTGTATGCCTTCTTCTCAAGATTTTCAGAGTCACACAATGTTGGTATTCCCCTCTCAATCTTTGGTATGCCTTCTTCTCTTGGAGATCTCCCTATCACTGCCTGGCTTTCCAATGTTTTCTCTCTCTCTCTCTCTCTCTCTCTCTCTCTCTTTCTCTCTCTTTCTCTCTCTCCGTCATGCCAATTTGCAAAAACTGCCGCGTCAGATGCTATCCGGTTTATGTGGTGGCCGCCTTATCTCTCAAAATAGCGGCAGTCGTAAAGACCACCGGCTTAGAACATTTTTTTCATCCTTCCAAGTATTCCACCTATGGACCTCAGGACGTGTAGTCAAGTTAATGCTGGTTATATATCCATCAGTCAAACCATTTTTGCTAGGAAATACCAAAACAATGAAATCAAACCTTTGATGTATTGCTATGTTATGGCCCCACCTTGAATTAGATGAAGTAATGTTTTAGTGAGGGTACAACAATATATCTAATGTCATGATTCTCGGTTTTAGCCTTCACTACAGCTATGTTGTAGCAAAAGTGAAGTCGTCCATCTATTTTGCTGCTTTGATGGCCTTTATGGAAGCACCAAATAAACTCCATCACATCACCTAATGCTCAATAGTATCCACAAGGTTGTGTTTGGTTTGAGAAAAAAAATGATGCCAAACAGAATCTCTCTTATTTTCTATCAAATACAACCTAAGGGTGTATATCACATATTTTCATGCATGAAAATAGTAATACCAAGTTAAATAGTACATCTTTAAGGTATAAAACATACCAAAGAGAAAGTTGTCCAAGCTTTTGTTTGACATGTATTCATACAACATCTCTCATCCCCTTGAATGCAACAGCCGAGAAGTCTGACAAGATTCCTATGTTGAAGTTTGGCAATAAGTGTAACTTCATTCTTGAACTCTTCTAATCCTTGTTCAGAACCCCTTGACAGTCTCTTCACAGCAATTTCTTGCCCTCCTGGTAACTGACCCTGAACAACATCCAATAAAACACAAACATGTATTTATATATTTTTTAAACCAACTTTTTATCATGGCTGGAGTGTTTTTTTTTGGGAAGTGGAGTTTGAGAATGAAGTTAGGATTTCATGTAGGGTCTGAAGTGTGAACCCATAGATACTACCAAAGTAGCTAGCTGGTATCTCATTTATTGGATAAAAGAAAATTTGGATGCATAAATCTTCACGTATCTGATATACTTCTGAGCTTTGTAGGCAGACCCAAAACCATCTTTGACAATATGCTCCGAAAATAAAAGGCGGGCGCATCTAAAAGTCTTCTTTGCCATCTCCGAGTTTATCTGTATAAATTATGGATGAGAAAACTCAGTCCGGATTTCCTAACTTCCCTCTACTCCCCTCTCTACTAACCCATTAAAATTATTCCAGCTGTCACTAAGTCCTATATAGTTTAACGATTGATTAATGCCTTAATTAATTCATCTGTTGGATACTATTTTATAGAAATATCTATTTTTATGCATTAATTAAATATTTCTAAAAATAAAAATATAATAATTTTGGACGGTTTATAACTTTGGGGTGTTCACTGTTCGAGTAATCGAACTGTGGGCCTTTTTTGTGAACCGAATCGGTAGTTCTGGTTTCTGGAAAATTGGTAACCGGAATCGATCGAAACCAGTCGGTTAACCGGTTGACTGGTTTGGATCATCAGTTTTTCGGTTTTTTTGACTATAATATTTATTATAAATATATATAAATATATAATAAAAAATTATAAATATATATATATAATATTATATTTTAAATAGTAAATAATATATAATATATTATAAATATATTTATATATATAATGTGTATTTATTAATTTATAATATAATATATATAATATACATAAATATATAGAAAAACAGGTATATCGGTCAATTCATTTAACCGCCAGTTTTTTAAATTGGTTAACCGAAACCAAACCGGTACCTTCGGTTTTTTAAAAACACCGAACCGACCGGTTCAGTTAACCGATTTTTTGGTTCGGTTTCGATCGGTTTTTTTGGTCAGTTCGGTTTTTCAGTTTTTTTCGTTCACCCCTATTTGTAAATCTTTTTCCATGCATGAATTTGCTTTACTAAACATGTATACCGGTCGGTTCGGTTAACCGTCGATTTTTTAAATTGGTTAACTGAAACCAAACCGATACCTTCGGTTTTTTAAAAATACCGAATCAACTTGTTCAATTAACCAATTTTTTGATTCGGTTTCGGTCGGTTTTTTCAGTCAATTCGGTTTTTCAGTTTTTTTGCTCACCCCTATCTATAACTCTTTTTCCATGCATGAATTTGCTTTACTAGGCTTATAAAAGAAATAAAATATCTATTTTAATTATATGTAAATTTCCCATTCTCTTTTTAATTATATGCAAATTAATTCTCTAAACCTAGTAAAGCAAATTCATGCATCAGAAAAAGAGTTACAGACCACCCAAAATTATTATATTTTTATTTTTAAAAATATTTAATTAATGCATAAAAATAGATATTTCTTTAAAATAGTATCTAACAGAGGGATTAATTAAGGCATTAGTCAATCGTTACACTAGATAGGACTTAGTGACAGCTGGAATAATTTTAATGGGTTAGTAGAGAGGGGAGTAGAGGGAAATTAGAAGGAAATCCGGACTGATAATTAACACGCAAAGATCCTTTTGGGTTCTCACCTTGAATCCAGGCTTGCTCCTAACACCAACCTTATTTGCACTTTCCAGCCTAGCCACCAACCTTATTGCACTTGCAGCTGTATATTGGGAATGTCATTCGTCTGAGATGTCTTCAATGCGTGGTTGTAATTAATGTTCTGTGAGGTGCGTGTCAGCAGTAAATCCCAATTCTTTCCACTTCCCAATCTGAATGCCATGTTGATGATGGATCAATTGTATGGAAAAGAAAACTTTCAACATTTCAGTGATTTAGATAGAAAACGTGGTTCTATTGTCTAGTGTCGTTATCTTCCACGCTAGTCTGTATTTTCAATATATATATATATATTAAAGGAAGGTTTTAAGGCCTTTCATTCAGACATTTGTTCAATTTGAGTAGTGGTCTTTCAAGAGCAGATTTCACTAATATGCAGAGTTGAGTCCATCATAATGTAGAGTCATGTAAAGTGGGAAGTTCCTACTCTTAATATTTTCTTAGAAAAAAAAAAGAACATTGGAGATTTTTCATCTCTGAACAATACACAAATTCGTCCAAAAAAACTTTCTATACAGAGTTTTACAACACAGAGAACTTCAAGAAATCTTCATTCGGTTAGTCCATCATTTCCCAAGAATCCATGTTTCTTCTCATCTAAATCAAACGGGATTTCCTACTCACTTTTCTTACCCACTCTCTACCTACTCTGAATTGCAACTACACATCTCTATTATGAATTGAGAGATGTGTGACTGCAATTCAAGACAGGTAGAGAGTGAATAGGAAATCTGGGTTCTATTTAAATGTCATATAACTGAAGTTTGAATCTTTCTTCACATACAAAAGAGTCTTCAACTTCAGAGAACTCTACAACCGAATTGTATCTGCAATTCATACAAGCCCAATCTTAGAGAAACTGATTATATCAGGTTAGTTTAATTATCAAGCTTGGTATTTTATTAATATTTAAGTAGTAATTTGACGTTATTTTGGTTTGCTATGTTTAATTTTTTTTTTCCAGTTTTATAGTTCGTTGTTGTTTAAATGTTCATATTATTTAGAAACCATCGGTGACCACTGGCGATCTACTGCTTTCTCCTCCAGTAGTAATTGAAGCCAATCTATTTAATTTTTTTTTTTCTGGTCTACTGTAAAGTCTGCCGACAATAATACTTTCATATATCTTACATATTATTTTTTCTTTTGTTATTTTATATTTTTTACATGTTTTTTTGTTCAAATGGGTGGTAATGATGGCCTCCATCTTTGTCCTCTATGTGCGTCGCTCTAATGAATGAACGAATTTCAAGTTGGGTATAGGAGGCAAACGATGACTTTTTGCATTAGATCAAAATAAGTCCAAATTCGAATTGTTTAAAAATTAGATTCGGGCCGGTTCAGGAATTCATTAGCCAACCCGGTTTAATTCATTTCAAATCAAAACAGTTTCATTAAATAGGTAGTTATTAATTCGACATGCTAATTAATTACCGCTAACTACTAAAGTAATAATAATTAATGACTTCTAATTAATTAATTCCAGTTATTAAATATTAATAATAATTACTCACTGATAATAATTTCTTATAATAATTACCACTAATACTTAATTACTGATAATAATTCTTTACTGAAAATTTATTACTGATAATATTGTTCATTATTATTTCGAAATTATAATTAATAACAATTTTCATAATGGTAATTAATAATTCAGAAATAACCATTTTAAATTTATATTCTCATACAAATTATTTTGAAAATAAATATTTAATATTAATTATTTATAACATAATTATTATAAAAAATTATAACTCATATATTTATATGAAATAATTAATTATATTATTATTATCAATAATTATAATTAATACTACTATGGTAATTAATATAACTGATAAAAATTCTTTACTAAATAATTTATTACTGATAATATTGCTCATTATTATTTCAGAATGATAATTACTTAATGATAATTCATAACGATTTTCATAATGGTAAATAATGATTTGGAAATAATCATTTTATATTTATATTAACTCATATTAATTATTTTGAAAATAAAAATTTAATGTTAATTATTTATATTATAATTATCATTAGAAATTATAATTCATACATTTATATGAAATAATTAATTATATTATTATTATCAATAATTATAATTAGTACTATTATGTTAATTAATATACTTATATTATTATTATAAAAAATTATAATTAATTATTACTACTAATAATGATTTCTGATAAAAAATAATTACGGATTATAATTACTTACTGATAAATAATTCCTTATATTAATTTTAACTATTAATTGGTATATAATCATTTTATATTTATATTAACACTGATTAATTATTTATAAATATATAATTAGTTTTACTTATTTACATTATTATTATTATTATTCTCCAATAAATATTCCATTTAGTAAAAGTTAAATTATTAAACTAAAAGAATTATAAAAGCAATTATTATTACATGAATCAACTATAAATCTTAATTATAACAAATTATTAACTTAATAATAATAATAATAATAATAAATATAATAATAATAATAGTAACAATTTAATATTACTTATTTCAAAATCAATACACACACAATAAGAATATATTATTAGTTAATAATAGTAAACTTATTATTATTACTGATTTC